CCTCCCAAAGTGCTGGGATTACAGGCGTGAGCCACAGCGCCCAGCTGCAAAAATGCAATTACTTTTGCACCAACCTAATATCTACCTATCATGATCTATTTTCTATCATCTATCCTCTACCAATCATTCATCATTTATCTACCTACTGTCTATCATCTACCTATCATCTGTCTATTAATATCTGTCTATCATCTACCTATCATGATCTATTATCTATTATGTATGAATCTATTTATCTATCTGCCTACCTGTTTATCTCCTTGTCTGTCTGCCTGCCTGCCTATCTAATAGCTAAAAGAATATACACTAAGACATTATCTGTGATAGTTTTTCTGGATATTTTTGTGTATGTCCTTACACTTTTCTTCATTTTAACATTTTCTAAAGAAAGCAATCTTCTTTTTAAACTACATAAAAATAAAACTTTCAAACAATATATTGCAGAAACCATTTAGATCTCAGGAAAGGGCAGCCATAGTACAGAGTATGCAGGTATGTGCTGTCTTGACTATTTTCCCCAGTATTTCAGAAAATATCACCTGAACCAAATGAATATAAACTCTGGGCCAGTGTAGTTAGGGACAAGTTACAGTAGAGAAGAGAGACAGGCAAAACTATGAAGTAGGTTTTTCTTAATCATTCACAAAATAAAAGCTGAGCAGAATAGATGGTGTTTTGGTTTTTGTTGTTGTTGTTGTTTTTTCCTTTTTTTTTTTTTTTTAAATGTTTTGCCACTGAAATTTGAATCAGCACTTGCTTATTTGGATTCAGCTCTCTATGCTGACTGTGTAGGTAATCACCTAACCAAGCATAAGAAAACACTTTGAAATCCCACTCTCTGTAGCACGCAATATTCAATGCTTTTGTTGTCTTTTAAGAGAGCCAAACTTAAAATGTGCTATAATTAGTTTAAAGTAAGAAACAGCATTTTAAGTCATTACTAGCCATTAACACTGTTGGGGCTCAGAACATGACACCCCAAAATATGGCACCTTGGCATGCTGACCACTTTGAACTGAAAAAGACTGGAAAGGTCTCAGAAACGAGGTCTTTCTGACTTTCTCCTAACCCCCAGCATCATACCCCTTTTAATCCCCTGAAGTGAGTCATAGAAAGTAGAATTTCCCTTCCCCAAGTGAAGCGTAGAAACTAGAACTCCTCTCCCCCAAAGCAAGACATAAAATCTAGAAAGATTCTCTTTTCCCTTGAAGACTCTCGTTTCCCAGGGGTCCTGCCCCATACTCAGGAGGAACGAATACTGCACAGAGAGGCTAAGAAGAATCCGAACACACAGGCCTTGTTGGGCTTTTCCCCTCATTCTATTACCACTAGATTCTACCCTTTTGTCCAATCACATTTCCACATGTTGTTCATTCGTCATTGAATCTAAGCATAGACATAGACAGTTTTCCCTAGGTCTTTGGTCTTCATTTCTGAAGCCTCCTGAGTCAGGTAAAACTTTGATTAAACAAATTTGCTATGATTTTCTCTTGTTAACCTGTCTTTTGTTACAGGAATGTCAGTTGTGATCGTTATGATGGGTGAGGAAAAGCATCTGTTCCCCTAACACCTCTTTGAAAATTTGTTTATCCAATGAACCAGGATATCACCTGGCAAATCCCACAGAGATCACGAGACACGGCACTGACACGTATTGATGAGGAAGCCAGGAGGGCCAGTGAGGAGGAAAGAAGAGCATGAAAACCCAAACACCAAAGTGAAGGAGTTGTGGATGTGAGCTGAACCCACTTCATATGTGTACAAAATGACAATCTTAGTTTTTAGCTCAATTGTCTTATCTTTTAAGGCTCTAGCAGGGGTGAATTAGAGCCAAAAGGCCAAACCTAGCCCAGCATATGTTTTGCAACCTTTATGGTTTATTGGAACACACTGGGTCTATTCATTTACATATTGTCCGTGTGCTTGCTTGCTACTTTGTCAGAGTGGAGTAGTTTTGACCAAGACCCCCGTGGCCGTAAAGCCTCAGCACTTGGCTCTTCACAGAAAAAGTTTGCTGATCCCGGCTCTCCAGGAATGGCTGTGGGTGCATTTCCCTGAAATTGGCTTTGAGAAGGGAGAAACTGCTGAATATGCCGCACACCGCAGTTGAGGCTCAGCTTCTCAGCTATTTTTGCTGTGTGTCAAGTGATAACCAGGTTTCCACCAGGGTCTAATGAATCATGAGAGGAGGTCTAATGGGCAGCAATTTCTCATTGCCTGGGGTCGCCTCTGGGTGTGGGAATCAGTGACAAGCGGGTGACTAACGGACTAACGGGAAGGACATCCAGAAAAGAGAGAGAAGAGAGATGAGGCGAGACGGAACTTTACTCCTCCTAAGAGTTCTCCAGAGTCTTTCGACATTTTAACTTCTAGAGGACAGAATTCTGCTTGCTAGTATTTAGCGAATTGAATTTTGTCCTTAGAGACGTGCACACTGCTCCCATTTACTTCAATGGGAGTAATGGGCCATTTAGTCCCTCGACATCTGTGTTGGCTTCAGGCTATTTAACAAACTCCTAAACAAATCCCAATAAAGTGCTCTTTAATGGGTACTTAATTCTGGTGTAGGGGCGGGTGCTAAGCACACCTAAGTCCTTTCTTTTCTTTCAGGTTTACTAAGTTTCCTCCTTTTGATGGTGTGATAATCACTACAGGCAAGAACCCTGAGTCAAGCAGTATAAAACCCACTCAGAGTCACGAGGCTTCTGCTTTTATTGATCTCAGTTGACCTGTTCATTCTCTGGATTCCAATTTAATGGCTCAATTGATTATTCATCTACATTTTTAATGTCTTTGTGGGCAAAAATCATTTTAACATGAATCATCTCTCACTTAAGGGGCAACATATCAAATCATTTTGGATTGTCGATTTCAACAAGTATTTATTGTGTCACTGAGCACGGGTGAACTTGACAAAGATGAAAAGGACATTTCAGTTTCTTGTGGAAGATGATGGAAATGATAGCTTGGTGTTTGCTTTGCAAAATGGATGTCACATATGTGTGGCTCACCTGATGTCAGAGAGTGGTTAGAATATCAAGTTTTCTATCATTTACTTACTAATTATATTTTGTCTAAATACAATTTGAAATCTACAATGCCCACATCTTTAGTTGACCTCTTTCTTAAGTTAAATCCAGGAGTTTCAATATTATTCATTGACATGTTTTCATTTTAGATGTTCCAACTTTGCTGTAGAAATGGTGAGAGATGATTATACTACAGAGATCACAACATAATGAGATGTAGCTTGATTTTATGAGCTCACGAAATTTCCTGTTTAGCAAAAGTAGGCAACGTGCAAGATCTAACCACACTTGTGTTTACAACATGATATTCTTTTTCAAAACCCTTTAAAATATCCGTGTGGATTTGATTAGATAATGATTTCTTCCTTCAGAGCAAGCAGGTAAAGTTCTAAAACTATGGCTGCTTATAGCTTATTCTTCTTGATAGGGCTGTTTAGAATACAATATTTATAAAATATATACCCAGTCACTTAGAATCTTCACTTCTTTCTAAATGAGATGAGGCACAAGAAAATACATAAGTGCATATTTCCAACCACACTCGTCACTTTTATCTGACAGTATAAAATGGAACCAGAGTTTAACACCAAAGAGGAGGCACGTATTCATCCTTTGAGGAATAGTAAGTGCTAGTGCTTGGTGAAAGGGGCAGTGAAAAGTGAAATCGTATTGCAAAGTTTGACAGTGTTTCACTTTACTAATTTTCACTTGTAATTTTCGTAGCCTTATTACCAAATGTGTAGATCAAAGAAAGCAACTCATTTCAACTCTTGGAGAAAAAAAAAACCAGACAATCAATGGTATTATTCTATCCATGTGGAATTACTAAACTCTTTCCTCTATGTCAGGCTTACGACAGGTAGCAGGTTATAAACATAAAAATAAGATAAAATTCGGATGCTTAGAAATTTCCAGTCTTATAGACATGTAAACAGATATTTGAAATATAACTTGAGATTCGTTGCTTTTGATTCCAAAGTGCTAGTGAACCCTCCGGTAGTCTCAGGGAGCTTTAAGGAAGAGGGAAATGTGCGTGCGGTCGTGGAGAATGAGGGAGTTCATCACCGTGAAGGTCGTGTGAAGGATCATACAAAGTGAGGGGCCAGCCTCAGAAAACAGGAGTCAGGAGAACATGGGGATATTGAAGAGAAGATAAAACTTTCCATCATAACTCATGTGAGAGTATAGGCAATGAGGGAAGCTAGTGCCTGGGTTAATGAAAATGAAAATGGCTGGATGATGAAGAGTTTCGAATTAGAAGGAATTCAACTTTATTATGTGGACAATGGAGGGTCACTGCCCGACTTTAAATAAAAAGGGGCCTGAACAATAAGCAGAAAGCAAAGGGGAGGTGCCAGTAAAGTAAGATTCAAATGGGGGTGGGTCAGAGAAAGTGGCTGATGAGGACTGGACTCCAAGCAGCCATATTTCCATCCTGCACCCTAAACAGGCACGTGGAGAATGCAAGCTTTACTCAGCCCTCATCACTGGGGGTTCATAGTCCCTTTCCCATGAAATAATCCACTCTATTGCTACAACCTCTAAATGAATTCCTCTTTGTTAACTTACTTAGAAACTTTTCTAAACATTTACATAGCTACTTATCAAGTTGGAATCACATTTCATGGTCATTTTCAATTGTGGTCATAGTCTTATTAGAGCTGGGAAAATGAAAATACGTATTTAATATTGTGATTGGATTATAACACATCCCGATAAGGTGATATTTCTTTTTTAAAAAACGTTCCTCTGTATTTGATGATAAAAGGGCCATTAGAAAGGATCAACAAACAAAAATAAATGTGAATTATATACATATGCATTGTTAAATTACTTTAGAATATTCAGTTAGCTTTATATAAAAGAGCATTTTTGTGTGCTCCACCTGATGAGTTTAATGACTAGTTGATACTTTCGTTCTCTTTGTTCAGAGCAGACACGGTCAGGTGAGGTCTTGGGTGAGTCCCATACCTGTGCTGTCTTCATACACCACGGTCACTGTTTTCCAGTTGTAATAGAGGACCAGATCCAGAATCGCCCTGCTGATAGCTGCATAATCTGGGTAAAGGTTGATGTAAAACAAATCTTTGTTGTCCACCGAGGGGTGTTTCCAGCGGGTCTGTATGTGTGGAACTTCGAGAGCATTGCAAATAGACTGCACAGCACTGACGGAGGAGCTATGGGAAGGGCCAAAGAGAGCAGCCACGCCAAGAGCCAGCTGGTCACATGCTGATGCCCAAGGATGAGGGGAGGATGGGGAGGGAAGGCAGGGAAAGGGGGAGAGAAAAAGAGAGTTCTATGAGTTTAATTTTTTCGTTCATGATTCCTCTTTTTAATGCAACTATTGAAAAATCTTTTACAATCCCTATATTGAGGAAATATACTTGGTCCAACTTCCAACTTTCTTGAGCTACTAATATGATGATAGATGTAAACTTAGAACTGATTAGCAATATACCACAAGACCAACTCCCTGCTGGTCTCACTTTATTACCTTTAATCAGATGGAGTCTAAATCCCTTGCTTCGTATGGTGTTACCTGAAAGCACTTCTAGTTATCAACAAGCCCTTTGCCAAATGAATGTTGTATGAATTAAGTTCTGTCATGCAGCAGGGCGGCATTGAAAATATTAATGTGGTTACAAAATTCAGAAGACAGAACCTCTGGTTACCCCAAAGTGCTTTAGCTCCTATCTTTCCAAAACTCAGAAAGAAGTTCCAGATTAATGAAATACTGCTAAAGAATGTTCATAAGCAGTGCTGATGTCTAACTAATTTTCAAATAATGAAATAGCATAGCCTAAAGGGATCTTAGAAGACATTTTGTCCAACCCACTCATTTCATAGACAATGGACACAGTCATGGCCACTGGACGGGAGCTTCAGCTCAACATCAGGCCTCTTTCTACCCCAGTATCGGCGGACAGGTAGCCTAAATAAATCAAGTCAATATCTATTGAAAAATTTACTTATAACATAAATGTATTTTTCTCATTGTAAGAATATAAGCACTCACTGAGAGAATTTAGAATGTTTAAAATGTAAGGATAAAAAGGCCCTGTGATTAATCCTATCGTTTTGGAAAAATATCTATTAATATTTGGGAAAATTAGAATCATTATATAAATACAGCTTGATGCATTGCTTTCTTTGTTCAACACCATAGCATGTCTTTTCTTTCAAGTCATTACAAATTCTCCTAAAGTATATTTTTAGTGTCTGTAGAATAGACCATTGAATAGGTGTGTCATCATTTATTTAAGCATTCCTACAATATAAAACATTTGGCTCATGCCTATAATCTCAGCACTTTGGGAGGCTGAGGCAGGCAGATCACTTGAGGTCAGGAATTCGAGACTTGCCTGGCCATCATGGTGAAACCCCATCTCTACTAAAAATACAAAAATTAGCCGGGTCTGGTGGTGTGCACCTGTAGTCCCAAGTACTTGGGTGGCTGAGGCACAAGAATTGCTTGAACCCGGGAGGCGGAAGTTGTAGTGGACTGAGAGAGCACCACTGAACTCCAGCTGGGGTGACAGAGTGAGACTGTTTCAAAAAGCAAACAAACAAACATCCCCCAAAACATTTAAGCTGCTCCTAAGTTTTGGCTATTCTAAATAATATTATAACACTTACCTTAGCTCTTACATTTTTCTCTGCATCTTATGCTACTTTCTAAGAGTAGATTTCCAGAAGTTAAGTCACCAGTTATAATTAAGGGGTATAGATAGTTTGAAGTCATGTGAAACATATTAACCAAATGCCCTTCCAGAAAGGTTGGGGCAGTTTGCCCTCTACAACCATGTAAAATAGTGCCTATTAATCTTGTGTTGGTAGGAATTAAATAAAAGCTTAAACACACTTTCAAATTTATATTTTAATTCTACAAATTTAGAAGTGTCATCAGATAATTAAATATCAAATTAGCTAAATTAATACATCCATTGTATTTAATAATATCATTCTGCCAATAAAAATAGAAAAAAATGATATGGCTCTGTAGCTACCTGACATAATTCAGACAGAATCACTGATACAGCTTTGACAGCTATATCGCAGGGATCTATGGAACAGCATATGTTTACAAGGAAAACATTCTGGTACTCTGCTCTTTGGTGGTGAATTACTGCATGAACTATGAAGATGTACAGTTTTATGCGTGATGTGCTGGAAGTGTAAATTGTCATTGTCTTCAGAAGCTTATTTTCTGGTTATGTTTTCATTATTTAGCCAGATAAAATGAGAGTATGGGAGTGTGTGAACTGTTGTTCTATCCAGCATAAGCAATGGATTGAGATTCCTGTTAATATTTAGCTCTGGGATACTAATATTACTTGACAGAAAATCAATCCTTTTGAGTTCTGTTTGCCAGCAAATTACCAGTTTTAAGAAGCTCTGGGGGTGTTTAATTGACAAGTATGCCAGGTACTTCCGATCACAGGAAAGCTTTCAGTTTTTATGTAGCTTCGAGCTTCATTGCTAAATGTGGTTGGCTTTCTACAGTATTTGCTCAACAATGTGTATGAGTGTTTGTGTCTGTTTGCATAGGTGTGTGTGTGTAAGAGAGAGAGACGAAAGAAAGAAAAGTGATAGATCTGTCTCTACATTATAGAGATAATTTATGTGAAGATAGCTTGGAAACTTTAAAATTCTGTATAAATATACAGTTTCATTATTTGTCCATAGACAATTTTGACCTATAGGGTATCTCAAAGTCTACCCATCTTGAAAAAGAAAATATTTTTATACTTAAGTCATGCCATAGATATAAAAAGATTATGTTGTTAATTTTTGTTTTGTTTTGTTTTTGAGACAGATTCTCGCTGTGTCACCCAGACTGGAGTGCAGTGGTGCAATCTCAGCTCACTGCAAGCTCCACCTCCCGAGTTCACGCTATTCTCTTGCCTCAGCTTCCCGAGTAGCTAGGACCACAGGCAACTGCCACCACGCCCGGCTATTTTTTTTTTTTTGTATATTTAGTAGAGACGGGGTTTCGCCATGTTAGCCAGGATGGTCTCGATCTCCTGACCTCGTTAACCACCCGCCTCGGCCTCCCAAAGTGCTGGGATTACAGGCATGAGCCACCACGTCCTGCTATGTTGTTAATTTTTTATCTGTGCTCCTAAGAAAATAAGTTTTATATTTTGTTTGCAAAGAACACTGGGATTCTTGCAGAAGGCTGTGTCAGGTGGACACAACCTGTGATCTAACTAGATTAATTCTATATGGAAACAACCAGCATTTAGTTACCTGGAAATCAGCATAAACATGGTGTTCATTGTATTTCATGTATTTGTGTGTATTTAGCAGGCAAAGATTCCCCTCTGAGGCAAAGAACCCCTCCTAATCTGGGGTGATGAGTAGCCTTTGTTTTCACATAAGCACATTTATTTAGTGACTCGATAGTGTCCCTGTCAGAAGCTAACCCTCAACTACATAGAATGTGGTCTTACTTCAAAGACTTGTCCTAGAATTGTCCAGAAGATGTCTAAACAAACCCCGCTATTCCGAGTGAATCTTTCTGTGAGAGAAACCTCGCAGCCGACATACGAATTCGATTATTTTTTAGGCTAGGCACTTGGCTACAGTTCAGAAGAGAAAGCGGATCAGATACAGACATTGCTCTCACAGGGTTAATCTTCATATTTCTATGATTTTGTGGAAAAGAGTAAAAAAAAGTTGAGAGGATGCGAGGTAAACTCAGTAGTTTACAACCTGTTAAAATTCAGGGTGTCAGTTATGTGTGTCCTGGGCATTTCCACATGCTCAGTGGATGTGACCTTCCGCAATGTTTTATTTGACTGCACCGCACGATTTCGTGGTGGTATCTCAGCTTCAGGAAAGAAAAACAGATCAAGCTTGACATTTTCCATTCACAGCTGAACTAGTTAATCATAGAGTGGAGGGCACTGAAGGGTAAGCTCATCAGAAAGGCCCAGAAAACAGTGCTCGGCAACGTCCATTAGGTTAGTTCACATTGCATTGATCAGTGACATCAAAGACCCAGATTTCCCGCAACCCATTTGCACAAAGATGTCTGCTTTAAAAGAGGGCAGGTAGCAAAAAGAAGGTGACTTGGAGAGCAGACACATCACCCAAAGAAGCTTTTAAAAGTGGGAAAATAGTTACCTCTCCGTGAGGCTTCGAAACTATCAAAAAGGTTAATTCTCTGGATGTCATAGGTTAATGTGGTGTTAGGCATCAGGGTTCGGTTTCTGTTAATGCTGGTGACTGCAAACTTGAAAGCTAATTCTTCAACATTAACAGGCTCATTTTCCACTGTTTCAAAAATCCCTCCTGCAGAAGCAAAAAGAGATGCATGAGAAGCATTAGTCACATGGTTCACATGGTTCACATGTAATTTTTTTTTTTTTGAGACGGCGTCTTGCTCTGTCACCCAGGCTGGAGTACAATGGTGTGATCTCGGCTCACTGCAACCTCCGCCTCTGGGTTCAAGCGATTCTCCTGCCTCAGCCTCCCGAATAGCTAAGATTGCATGTGTGCACTACCACGCCCGGCTAATTATTGTATTATTAGTAGAGACGGGATTTTACCATGTTGGCAAGGCTGGTCTCAAACTCCTGACCTCAGGTGACCCACCCTCCTCGACCTCCCAAAGTTCTGGGATTACAAGCATGAGCCACTGCACCCGGCCAGTAAAAAGAATGTAAATATATGAATAAAAGACCCCAAATGATAAATAGAGGAATAGTTAGAGCAGATCCCAAATCCAGGGCTAAAAGTGAAGTTTATCAGCATGTGCCACATGCAGATAAATAGGACTAACTGCATATGTATGCTTAAGATTTTAAATCCAGTGTTGAACTGTATACCGTCTCTCAGATGGCAAATGTATTCCAAATATTTAGTGGCATAAAAGTGTAACTGATAATATGGCAGAGAGCGATTTTCTGTGATGTGGACAAGAATTGCACCGTACTTGACCTAAACATAATTTGAGTTGTAACCTTGTAGGATCATTCTTCTTTAGAATGAAGATCTTTCTGTTAAGAAGCCTACATTCCAGACTCTAAGGGGATCATGCAGAGTTGATGGGATCAAAATGACACATACATACTGTTAGTTTTTTCAGGATAAAAATGTTCTTTTTTGTGCTTCATGGCTCAGAATTCTGAGATCATATTCCAGTACTTTCCAAAGTTCATGAGAATATTCAAAAAACTGTATTTTTTCTTTCTTTTCTTTTTTCTTTTCTTTTTAGAAACTGTTTAGTCCAAAGCAAACCTGCATCTGGTAACTAGAGAAATATGTCCCTTCACTGAGCAAGTGCACATGTGCCAGGTAGGCTCTGGTGTCTTAAACATGAGGACCTCACTGTAAGCAACAGTAACAGATATTAGTGCTTAAAGCCTCATCAGAGAATGTAGCTCTGATTTTGCTTGAGACATTGACTTTTGATAGAGACAATGTAAGTGCTGTTGACTGTACAGTTCTTAAATGCTCTTTGAGAGATGTCCTAGAATTATTAATAGACACAGGATCTACAGTGGAAGCTTTCTTAACCCATCTCCATTTAAGTTACTCCTTGATTGACCAATACTCCTCATTTCTTTTGAAAACACATGTTAACTGATGCTCATGAAATGCTGAGTACTTCTAACTGGCAGGCTGATACATATATTACTTATTTATTTACTTTTGAGACAGAGTCTCACTCTGTCACCCAGACTGGAGTGCAGTGACATGATCTCAGCTCACTGCGACCTCCACCTCCCTGGTTCAAGTGATTCTTTTGTATCAGCCTCCAGAGTAGCTGGGACTACAGGCACGTGCAACCACGCCCAGCTAATTTTTGTATTTTTAGTAGAGATGGGGTTTCACCATATTGGCCCAGTTGGTCTCAAACTCCTGACCTCGTAATCTGCCCACCTTAGCCTCCCAAAGTGCTGGGATTACAGGCGTGAGCCACTGCACCCGGCCTATCTTTTATTTTTTTTATTTTTTGAGATGGTGTCTTGCTCTGTTGCCCAGGCTGGAGGGCAGTGGTGCAATCTTGGCTCACTGCAACCTCTGCCTCTCGGGTTGAAGCGATTCTCCTGCCTCAGCCACTTGAGTAGGTGGGATTACAGGTGCGCGCCACCATGCCTGGCTAATTTTTGTATTTTTAGTAGAGACGGGATTTCACCATGTTGGCCAGGCTGCTCTCGAACTCCTGACCTCATGATTCACCCTCCCCGGCCTCCCGAAGTGATAGGATTACAGGCGTGAGCCACTGTGCCTAGCCCAGGCTGCTATTTTTTATCTATTCTCATTATTGAGTGATCCCTTACCAAAAGTCAGTTGTAGGTTTTTCCCAACTTGTCTACTCTAGATTGATTTACAAGTGCTCTAAGTTCTCTCCCCATTCAAAGGGGGAAGAAAAAGAATATAAAAAAATCTGAAACGAAAATCACAATCACCCATCATGCACATCATTTATGTGCATTCTTTGTTAGAAAGCGAACTCCAACGGACAGATTCTAATTCAAAGAAATTACCCTGATCCTACTTTGAAAGAAAAGCAATAAACAAATACACATCTGTAATGTTCCTGCTGAACTGACTTTATTAAATAACTAACTACAGTGCTGGGTTGTGAAAGCTAAGATGGTTTATAGTGAATTATTTTGGTTCCTTTCGGAAATATTTCTGGCTTTTGTAGGTGGATAATATGAGGCATTCAGGTATAGATAATTTCCCTGTCTTCTGAGAAATCATAGTTGAAAACTATATGATGATACAACTACTATGGACCCACAAAAACTAAAAATTAAAAAAAGGAAAATTACATGACAGAGTTATTTGGTAATGTTAAGCTTTCGCTAAGGAGCCATTTAAATGAACGTAAGGAAAAATGTTGCTGTTCAAGTGAATTTGTGTTTTACTTTTGTCAGACAGCGGTAGGGAGAGACTCTGGAGTTGATTTTCAGTTCCTCTCAGAACTGTTGGTGGATGCTGAACAGTGAGGTGACAAGATGACACAAAAGACACTTGGTGACCAGAAGGTGGACGTAAGGCTGTCTCACTGCCACCATCGAGGTGACCCATACAGAGGGCTGCCTGGTGATAGGGCTTCCACGGTGATGATTAGCAATTACTTATTTACTTGTCTATCTCCTCAATCCCACAGGGAGAGCCCACATGGAGAGAGACTGTGTCTTACTCAGAATCAGCATCCTTGGGGAGACCAAGGCATCTTTAGGATGTTCAGGCTGCAACTATTTAGGGGAAAAGTCAACCACTGGCATGGATGTGAGCACCATTAATCTGTATAGGGTAGGCTGCTTGGAGGAAACAAATACCTGAATAGGAAGCAGAAATTCTGAACTTTGAAACCTGATCTACCTACTTCCTCTTTGAGGAGGATTTTTAAGTATCAGAAATAAAATTATTTCGAAATCGCTCTTTTACATATGTTTAATTACACCTCGTAGCAGTCAACACAGGAGGATTTTTTCCATTTTTATAAATGAAAAAGTGAACGGGAAGATTATGCATTATATCCTGCTTATTCAAAGTCACAGTATTGTCTGGGACTGACTCTGGTATCTGAATCTCCAAAAAATGTAAATGTTTTCATTTCATCAAGTTACTTCTGTTGTTCTTTGTCTCATACATGTGGGCCAATAATGTTGTCTTGCTTCCCTTGGAGAATTGCTCTATAAAGCAAATGAGATAATGTAATCAAAGTGCCCTGAAAACTCAAAAATTCCCTAGAAATATGTTTTTATATTATTGTACCTGGATAATGGAAATAAAAAGAGGAGTTGGGCACCAACTGGTGAACTGACTACTCGCCTCAAAACTATTCTTTCGCTATATAGCTGTCTATCACATAAAGCCAAATGAACCTGGGTTTAAGGGAATTACAAGTGTTTTCATTATGTGCTTGGATAGTGTGCAGGTAAACTGTTTTGTCACTTTCAGAGAAATTTTTTTTTCATTTTTTCACCAGGTGTCATTAGCTTAAGACCCCATCACACTCTCTTTCTCCAAGAGAGGGTTGCTGATAAATGCCAGAGATCTACTGTGGTACGAGGTATATAGAAAGCTGGTGAAGTACCAAAAAAGTGAGATCTGACAGAAACAGGAGAAAGGCATTAACAGGAGTCAGACCATTACCTGGTATGTGGGCAGACTGTTTAAGGATTAGCCACTTCCTCCCTCCTTCTCCTCCCCATAGCTTCAGGTACAACAAAACGGGATGTAGAGTCTTTAATAAGAAGAATAAAGGGGCACACACATTGGAGCCCTTGCATAATTTCTTCCTTCCATCTTTCCTTCTCTCCTTCTTGTTCTCTCTCTACCTTTCTCTTTTTCCTCTCCTTCCTCTTTTCTCTCTCTCTCTCTCCCTTCCTTCCTTCCTTCCTTCCTTCCTTCCTTCCTTCCTTCCTTCCTTCCTTCCCTCCCTCCCTCCCTCCCTCCCTCCTTTCTTTCTTTCTTTCTCTTTCTTTCTTTCTTTCTTTCTTTCTTTCTTTCTTTCTTTCTTTCTTTCTTTCCCTTCCTTCCTTCCTTTCTTTCTTTCTTACTTTTTCTCTTTCTGTCTCTCTGCCTCCCTTCCTCCCTTCCTCCCTTTTTACTTCTTTTATCTAATAATTGTGAGTGTGAGCTGTGAATGAGACATCTGAAGGCTTTAGGGGTCTTCATGTTGTGAACCTCTGGCCTCATTCATTTGGAGGCCCATTGATTTGAGACAAGAAATCCCTACCTTGTTCATCCCTCTGTTCCTCTTCCTTTCCCTCTCTCTCATTTGAGCTGAGCTGACTTCTACTCCTAACAATGCAGCGGACCATGGAAGGGTTAGGAAATTGAAATAAAAATCTAGCTTAGGCTCAAGGAAGAGAGGCAAAGCTGCCGCCACCCCTTATATTTTTGAAATTTCCCGAGCCAGGGCAGTGGGTGAAGGGAGAAAGCAGGACTCTGGGAGCTCAGGATGAAGAAAAAGCTTTTTCATTCTGCTATAATTCTTGAGAAAAGTAGAGCATGGCAGATGGAACACAGGAGGGTGAGAAACCTCAAAATCGGCAGGCCTGAGTTATCCGTGTTCTCTTCCATTGCTCATGTGTACCTGAAGCATGAGAAGTATTGTTAAACTATGTTTTGTCCTTTGTTAAACTATTTTTTGTCTTTTCTATGTTGTAGATCAGTTTGAGTGGGTACAGATCACGTGCCAGTCTTTATAGACTGGGAATTGTTGGGCAGTAATCCTCTGTCTGATCATCGTTAGGAAGTTTGATCAAGGGTCAGAGGGCATGCTTAATATCCACCTCACCAGCCTCTTCCCCACCTCACCCACC